ACTGAAATTTTCCAGGATCATCTAGCCTTTTACTTTAATTGTCTTACAGTGTGCCGAGAAACTAATTATAACTTGTGAACTTGTTAGTTCATACATCCAGTTCGTCATGCTAGTCAGAAAACAAGAGCTAAGAAATGTATCATGTTAATAACGCTTGTGAAGAGTTATAAACTGTAAAACTGCATTGACATTCTTGTCCTGATCAACTTTCTGGCGTTTCCAGTAGCCTATGAACAGATCGGATCTTGGAACAGAAAACAAACAAACAAAGCAGCAAATACAGAACTGCATGCTCGCATTCTCTTTTAATTTCTTTTTTTGTATCTTCATCGAGGAAATGACAGTTAAATCGTGGATTATGTTTGCCGTAAAATGCACCGCACAGCATCGCAGTCACTGATGGAAAATTCAACTTCTTTTAGGAAATAACTGCGGTGGCAATTTGCAATTAGATAACAGATGCTGTTTGATTCGTTCACGTTTATTTGCCAAGTCGCCGTGCTTCATACTTGAGTTAACAACATTGAAACATGTCTTTTTAATACAATATGAATTTCAAACACATCGTGTGTTTTCTAAAAAGCTATATCCTACTTTATACTGCGAAGAAGCCTTGCTGAGAAAAGTAATCAAACACTTTCATGGAACATAGTATTCGTTTATATATTTAGTGACAAAGGCCACGAGCCACAGTTCAAAACTTGATGCCGGATCGTTTAGCATTTCGCTTTCTTGTTTCGTGTGGGAAAACGTCGTTTAGTCAATTTTATATCAGGGGAACTGACCAACTGATGGTGCACAGTTAACAGAGAGATTTTTTTCTACTAATTCTTTCCTGAAAACGGTGTGTTATTGGTAATGATGCTTTGTAACAACAGGACAATCTAGGCTTATGACGTAGAATCCACACAACAGCAAAAGCAACACTTGTAACCACTTTCGACTAAGCGATGGGCAAACCACTCTGACATTTATTTGACAAACTTTTCTAAAACTGAAAAAAAAATCAAGTTAGAGTATTTAGTATAATAGTGTTGTGGTGTTGTGTCTTCGATAACTGCTATGTCCGATTAATATTTAAATCAATTTTTATTGTTTTAGTTTCCAGTCGCCGAATTTATGGCCGAATTTGCAATAAAAGTTTCGCGGTTACTTGCCTAACGAAGCGACACAAATTTTAAAATGTATTTAGCTTACAAAAACTAATTGGGGACACTATTTACATATTAAAATATACCTTAGCTACATCAAGTTAAAATTATTTACAATTTAATTCGAAACAAAAACCCTTACAGATGAATAAAATATACCTTAGCTATATAAAGTTAAAATTGTTTTCAATTTAATTCGAAACAAAAACCCTTAAAAGATAATAAATAAAAAAATGACGTAGTGTGATACCGTAAATCCTTGAATTAGCACCACCTCCCCTCGAATAAGCGCCCCATTCGAATATAAGCGCCCCTCTTATTGGCCGAAATTTAAAATAAGNCCCCCCTCTGGAATAAGCGCCCTCCTCCCCTCCTCCCATTTTGTGGACGAGCAATGAGACGACAAAAGATGTATAGTGTTCGTCATGTAGTATTAGATTTGTACGTTGTTTCAGTTTATGAACACGTTTAGGATCAGCTTTTTATGTCGATAAACACTGGTATGTTGTTATTTACGCGCAGATGACGTGTTAAAAAAATGATCATGTCAGGTCACGATTTGGGAAAAATTAAATAATCCCCCCGCCGCGATTAAGCGCCCCCCTCGAATAAGCTCCCCCGTTTTCTCCTAAATTTGAAATAAGCTCCCCGGACGCTCATTCCAGGATTGACGGTATATATATACATATATATAAAAGCTTAAGAGATATCAAATATATATCAAATGTAAAATTTAAAGCGGCCTAGCAGCATGTATCACAGTTCTTACACTGAATTATCTATTAAGAGTGATAGATCTTCACTCTTAATACCTTAAAGACTCTTAACATTAGGCTTCTCTCTTTCATTCTGGTCAGAATAAACGATCCTCTTCGCGCCTACGTGTCATATAAGGCTGATCATAATGGTCTAGTTTGTTCCAAGGATGTGGCCCAAAATATCGTTGAGAATGTTTTCCATAATGCACTGTGCAAAAACGTGGAATATTAAAATCAACGTTCCTCAGATTATACCGTTTCGGGGTAGTATTTAGTATTTCTGTTCTATAAGTGAGCACAAGTCCGTGTTTTACTTTATACATGAAAATGGCGATGTTTTGTAACCGTTGTTGGTACAGACTTGGTAGACCTGCTCTTGTTAGAAGCTCTCTGTAGGTCTCCGATTTGGATTTTAAGACTGCCCTGAGTGCGCGCTCTTGAATT